TGAAAAGTAACGACTTTTCGAAAAGTAACGACTTTTCGGAAAGAGTAAGAACTTTTCGGAATATTACCGTTACCTGCAAATTTATAAGAAATGACTTTTCATTTGCACTTTGCAAATGACTTTTCATTTTCTTTCCAAAGTAGTTCCCTCACTTTTGATATTTTCTCTTTTCTTTTCCCATTCACACTTGCTAAAACCCAACAATTAGATGAATATTTTAGAGAATATCAAAAGTGCACCAATTGTTGAAACATGGAAGACTATTAGTGTTCCACGTGAAAAGATAAGAATTACTTTGACTCTTAACTTAAAGATAAAGGACAATTTTGATCATATTCTCCTCTCTACATTCCATGATCTGTATCTAAACCTACAACTTGTGGTTCATCTTGTATTCCATACATACTTAGAACAAACTTTGAACAATTTGTAAGACAACAAAGTTTAAGAACATTTTCAAAACTAGAAAATTTAAACTAGTAGCGAAACTAGAATCAGAAACAAATTTAAAAAAATATACGAAATATTTTTCTAAAATAAGAATTGTTGTTAATATGTGTCTAAAGAATCTTACTGATTCCAACAAACTTTGCAGAAACATGAAGTTACCAAGTTTAATGAACCAGTGAACGAAAAAAATTGAAGAACTGAAATTAATTCACAAATCTAAAATTTGTAAAAACACATACCAGAATCTGAAAAAATTTTAATAGGAAAAAGATCAAGTCCACTGAATCCACAGTGTCCCCTTAAGGAAATTATTCCCCTCTAGTATCCGAGGTTTGATTTGGAATATGACCTCCCAGGGTAAAATGATCTTAATCACCAGAGTATAGATACCAAAAACTCCAGTGTCAGCGAACCACTCAACGGCAGTAAAGTACACATAGAATACTAGATTTAGTAGTTGAAGAAAAGTCCATGAATTCTATATTAAAATGAGAGGAAATTTCTCAATTTATAGAAAACAAAGGGTAGTGCGAAAAAGTTCTTATTGTGCCTTACCGGAAAGCTCACAAACCTTTGGAAAAGTCACAATCTTTCAGAAAGGTCGTCACCTTTCATAAAAGTCACAATTTTCCATAAAAATCACATCTTTTCATAAAAGTCGCAACATTTCATAAAAGTCACAACTCTTCATAAAAGTCGCAACTCTTCATTTTCCATTCACACCTTTTCAAAATTCAACACAACTTACATTAACTCCTTTATGAATCACGTCAATCAAAATTATTTTATCCGCAAATGATATACAATATCACCAAGGAAAATAAAAACGTGCTAGGGGTTGACTTGTGGTGCAACCTCATCAACACAGGAAAGTACCCAAGAGTCTCCTTCCACTATTCTTTCTCGGGTCTTAACTCTATCGTACACGTTTTTAATAGACCTAGTGTGTGTTACAGATACACCTTTAGCCTCCAAGCACCTCTCTAAAACCTCCTGGGACTTTACCATAAGCTTTTTTAGACCGATTAACATATGTGAGTCATCCCCTTTCCCATATACTGCACCACCAGTCTTCTTACGAAATGAATGACTTCTATAATCAAGCGTCCTAGCATATATTCGGACTGATTTTTTAAAATAATCAGTATCCTATTTAGTAATGTTTTCATATTCACTAAAAGCTTACTAGTATCTAATGTCTGAGACCTATCAAATGATAACATGACATGTGTATTCACATACACTATTAGCATAATCATAATTTATACTATATTTTTTCACCTTAATTACCTCTTAATCTTGCCAAATTTGTATTCTCTTAATCTTGATAATTAAGTTCGTATTGTTTGCTATAAACATCAGGAAAATTTTCTACCTTTAAATTATTGATACAATAGGACATTACACAAAAAAAAATAATCAAAATTCTATCATCTTGAGAGTCATGATCAAATTTGACATTTCACTTATCACTTAGGTGATAATCTTTTGATGCTTTGACATGACAAATAAAAAATGTCTTAACAAAATTTTTACTAGTGCTGCTAATGTGACATGTGAAATATTGGGCTAAATTCCAAGCAAAAATAAAATAAAATCGATGATTTTTCAATTTGACCCTTAAATTATTACACCTTTATCAAATTAGCAAAAGAAAATTAAAGGCAAAATCTCATACTCAATTGATAAAGTTTTACGAATAACTAAAAAGCTTTGCTCATAAGCACTATACTGTTGAGGAATAAACATATATTTTAGATTATATTAATTAATCTAAACTCATAATCATGATATTTTCACTCAAAATGTGATAGAAAATATTTTAATGTTTTGACATGTTGAAATTAAAAATGCCAAAACAATTTCTTTTAATTGTTAGTGTAGCGTGTGATGTATTGAATTTTTTTAATCTAGATACTTTTATAACTTTGTGATCTATTGAGTTTTTTTTATCTCTCAGTATTTTTAGTTATAAAGAACTTGAGATATGTCTATATACTAGAAATTTGTGTTAATTTATATGAACGCTTCAAAATCTAAATATCATAATTTATTTTCATTATATCAGTTAAACACTTCAATAAATTTAAACGATTATATAAGATATTTCCAAAATTTACGTGTTATATTTGTGTCAAGTATTCACAAAGTACAATATTATAATTATCAATTGATACTGAATTGAGGTATCCCCAATTCAAAATTGGAGTGTTTACTTGTGACATTTGAGTGTCTTAATATACGATTAAGCCTCTTTATATTAACAATGTTTTGTGATTTGTATAATAAGGTGTGGTAATATATGCATATTGATATTTTTGATATATAAATCTCAATTAATTGTCATAAACAAGAGTATACAAAAATCAATTTGTGAATTATAAAAAAAATATTCTTTTCGTCTCAATTTATGTGATATTTTTTGAATTTCGAAATTTAAATAAGGCTATTTTTGACCGTAAATTTTTTATATACTTTTAACTATTTTGAATTGTCAATTATTGTGACTTATAACACTTTTTACGTAATTTATAAATATATAAATTTCATTTAAAAAATTGAAGATCTCACGTACAAATTTTCGATTAAATTTAAAATGTTTGACTTTTGAAAAATAAAAACTGTCACTTTATGTGACACTTCGTTTTTCAAGAATCAAACAGTTTTAAGTCTAACCAGAAATTTTAATTTTTTAAAAACGAAATTCATATATTTGTAAACTACATAAAAATAAGTTATAATTATTGATAATTAAAAATATTTAAAATATGTATAAAAAAATTTATCATCAAATATAGACTTGTTTGAATCTCAAAATCTAAAATGTCTCATGAGACGAAGGAAATACGTAACATATTTCTTATTAAATTGCTTAACTAAATACGAATACTAAAAAAATATGGAAGTTAAATATATTCGAAGGGTAAGAAATTCAAATCTTTTAATTTAAAATCTCAAATTCAAGCTATAAATATGGGAGGATTAATCAAATACGAATATCAAACACCGAACTTTATAATAAAATTAAAAAAATTGAAGCCCTTTTCAGGATCAGTTAGGACGCAGTACCCGCCACGTTGTGATTTTCCTTAATTAACAACTTTAACTCCGGTAGCTTCTCTCTTCTCCGGCTTTCTTCAAAGCGGTTGACCCAACTCCGGCGAAGTACCTAAATTTCCGATCAGTTTCCCCTAACTTAATTTTCCGTTTCTGAAAAATTTTAGTACTGAACCCCAAAATTCAGTTTCCGAAACTTAGAAAAACGAAATGAAAAACGGAGAAGTAGTGAACGGAAGAGGAGGAGTATGTTCATCGGAAACCGTTAATGGAGGCGAAGATGTGTTCAGTTGCGAAAAAACTGATGCTTCCTCTGCTGATCATCTTGTAATTATGGTACACGGTATTCTAGGAAGGTGCGTGTATATGAGTTTTGTATTCCTGTTCGACTGTGCCATTCATTTGTGCAGTATCAAAGTTGAAGTAGTTTATTGATGAAATTGAAGTTTATGATCTGATTATAAGGGGAAATTAGGGATTTTGATCTTAGGTCTACTGTTCTATGGAAAAGAGGATATTTGTTTAGATTTTGTTAATACTCTCTCTGTTTCAATTTTTTATCGGATTTTGATTAAAGATATGTAGAATGTATCAAAATATTCTTTAATCTTGTGGTGTTTTACATGTAACATGGAAAGCTGAAATTGAAGCGTTTCCATGAAATTGAAGAGTTTCCATATACGGAAGGAGACATTTTTTTTGAAACGGATTAAAAAGGAAGTAAAATAAGTACATTGAAACAGCAGGAGTAGTTGTTTATTTAGATATTTTCGTATGCACTTATTGGAGTGATTTGGATTGCTTCATTATCAAGGAAATTTTCAGAACCTGTTACGCATAATTGGTTGACTAGATCATATTCATCTATGCAATTTTCGCGACCATACAAAAATTTCCATGCCAATAAAAGAAAAAACTGCTTTTACACTGTATGCTGTGTTGATTAGTTTTTCTCTTGTTGCGGAGGGGTTATGCTCAGTTGGAATGCTTAGTTGCTAGCTGTTTGAATTCATACTGCGTGAAACAATTTTCTATTAATTCTCTGGTTATCACAAAAAGCAAAGGTACTTATACTTTGGTTTTGTAATCCATATATTTCAACAGCACTACAGATTGGAAGTTTGGTGCTGAGCAGTTTGTCCGGAGGTTTCCTGACAAAGTTTTTGTTCATTGTAAGTGCATATATCTGGAGTGGCATTTCTACTTTCACAGGCTCGTTTCTGCATAATAAAATTCCTCTACAGTTCATCCCCCCTGCACTTACCTTGATGGAACTAAGTAAATGAATGTAGTTTAGGCCTACAACATGTTGGCTCGTGTAGTGGAGGAACTTGTAAGAAGGAAGGGGCTTAATTGAATCCCCGTCGTCAAAAAATTATACTGTGTGAATAAGGCAAAAATGACTTCTTTTTTATATATAAATGGTTGAATCCTATGTAAAGGGGAAAATCTAGTGTAGTTGTAAAGGGGTTTGAAGTTGCTTCAGTTTACAAGTTCAAATCTGAACAATGAAATCTTGTATCTTTTGAATCCACTTGTATATGTCTTAGTTTTGGTGTAAAGAGATTTGTAAATGGCATAGAACCTATGTTAGGCTTTATTGAATCTCTGTGAGAAGAACAAAGATTTACTCTTAGGATGTGTATCTTTTTTTAAGCAGTAAAGTTGACTATCAGCACAACCTTTACCTTATCAAACAAAAAATAGGAAAAAGATTCCACGTGTATAAAAACCTCGCTCCGTCACTGCCCTCATTTTTCACATGCTTCTTATTTCTTAACCAAGTATGTGAACATATTTTGTTGATGAGTGGTGGTGACGCTGGAATTCAATAAATTTGCCTGCTTTATTATCTGTGTTGAAGTGTATGAACTGCCTCATCTAGAAGTTTAAGTTATTAGAAAGGGGATACTTTAATTTATAGTTCTACATCATGTAGATACTTCCATATGAGTAAAGCAAGTCAATGTGGTAACAAATGATTCATGCTTGTTAAAATTTTCCAAGTGCAGAGGTGTATTATAGCTGCTAAATGACAATATTTTTTCTTCATAAGATGTAGATATCATTTTTTACGAGGATGGGGTGCTACTAAGGTTTTCTTTATTTGCTCACCTTCCCATTATTTAATTAAGATGTGTTCACCGGATTCTTCTAGTGAAATTGCAAAATCTTTCTGATTTTGCGTAGTTTTTGAGCCGAGTGCTAATTAGCTACTCACAAGATTGTATGGACATTTGTACTTTTGTAGCATCTCTCTTCTTGAGTTACCACATGTGTCCAGTATCCTATGGTTATTGGTTATAAGTGCACAGAGAAATGGAATACCAAAAGGAGGACTAAAGAAAATGATCTTCTCTGCAGGTAGTGAACGTAATATTGGAAAACTAACATTGGATGGTGTGGATGTAATGGGTGAGAGATTGTCAGAGGAGGTTAATTTCTTCTAATACTATTCATTCATTTTTATTTTTTGCTTCTTTCCATCCTATCCTTTTTCTAATATGTTCTCCAGATCTTGGTATGTCTACCAATCTACTAACAATGTGGAGATGGATTTAGGTTCTTGAAGTGATCAAGAGAAAGCCAGGTCTGAAGAAAATTTCTTTTGTCTCACACTCTGTTGGAGGGTTGGTGGCAAGATATGCCATTGGGAGGTTATATAGACCTCGTAGAATAGAAAATACTGAGGATTTATCAGCCAATGCATGTGTAGAAGGGTTGGAGGATTGCACGATAGCTGGTTTGGAACCAGTTAATTTTATCACTGTTGCCACACCTCATCTTGGTTCTAGGGGTAACAAGCAGGTACCAGCGCTATTATTTAAATCTTATCAAATACTTAAGGTAATATTATTGTGATTGAGGAAAATGGATTTTTGTCCTCTTTCAATATGCCTTTGTCTCGTTATAGGTAAATGATGCTTATGAGCAGAAGATATAGATTCACACCTCCACATTTTGATACTTCTATAGACTGGGTTTAAGGGTCATCTGACATACCAATATAATTTCCTTTCAGATTCGATTGCTATCCATTACCCTATCATGATTCTTGATGGGGTATCCTCCTGTTTATCAAGTCTAGTCAACATATTTCTAAATACCCTTGATACACATTTAATTTTTTTCATATTTCTTTGTCAATTTACTTGTAATGATTTCCAAAAGAAAACGAAGTGGTGGTTTTAATTTCAAAATCATGACTAGTTTTTCTAGACCATCTACTTTCATTTTCGTTGCAATCTTAATGCAAAAGTATTGATATCTGGATAAGTTACTGCAATGAAGGAGGCTTTTGGTCTACAGCAACAAAGACCAGATAAAATGCAGCAAATTAGAAAAAACGGCCAGGGCGAAGAAGAGCGTCTGATATGTGGAGGAGACGGTTAAAGGAGATCAAAGTGGGGTTAAGGTGGAAGGGAGATGATGTGTGTTAGGATGTTGAGGGAAATAGACTCATGGGTGGAGGGATGGGTTGATGCAAGGTTCGGGGAGTCCAAGAGAGAGGTTGGGGAGAGCATTTGTGGTTAGAGGGAGCTTCAATTTTTCATTGGTGGGGGGTTGAAGACGAACTTGACAAAGGAAGGTGAAGTAGCATTGGAGGGGCACATGAGTGAAGGAAGCAGAAGAGCAGCCATGAAAAAAAAAGAGTGCCCTTCTTCCAATTTACATTTGAGGGTGCCAGAAAGTCTTTTTCCCTGCTTATGTAGTGGGAGTACAGACCTTTATCCAAACTCCATCCATGAATAGTTTTATCTATTTTCAAGTTGAACTATTTCAAGTACGTTAAATGCTGCCCAACATGAATCTTCTAATCCTGCCATACATCATATATCTGCATACTGGCGAACCTCTTAGATCTTGTCATTATAGTCTCTGACTCCCTCTATATGTTGTGCTTTAGGTTTGTGTTTTCTGAGTTTCTAAAAGCGTAGAAGATCTTTACTCTTTAACCTAGGCACTTTCTGGTAATAAACACTGTTCTTCCACAACTCAACTTCTTTAAGAACTGCAAATCAGTGACAGTTCTGCATTGTACCTTTTGTTTGGTTTACTGAGCTATAGCTTAGAGTTAGTTTTCTGGAAGTGATAGTGGTTAGACGTACATAGAATTTGATCCCAGGATGACCGTGGAAATATGCTCTTTTATCAAACTATTCGGAAGGATTGAGGTGATTGCCAATCTTTAACATATTCTATTTGTTGTTATATCTGATGTATGTCGAAGTGCATTGTTCCTGTTTTCTCAAGTGTGTTCATATTTGTATGATTTTGAGGTTTCTTCCTTATCTAAAATATTAAATATGCTATGTCAGCTGTTGAACCTTTTGATAATATTAATGTTTTAAGGTATTGTCAGGTGCCATTTCTTTTTGGTGTAACTGCCTTAGAGAAAGCTGCTTTCCATGTAATCCATTTGATATTTAAAAGAACAGGGAGGCACCTTTTTCTTTGCGATAATGATGAAGGGAGGCCTCCATTACTTAAACGCATGGTGGAAGACAAGGGTGAACTACAGTTCTTGTATGTTACAAAGATTAATAAATTACATATAGGATTGATTGGTCCTGTGTTTACTGGTACCTGTAGTAAATATTACTTTATAGTGATGCTGATTGGTTGAAAAAAATCATGCATGTAGGTCTGCGTTGCGTTCATTCAAGCGCCGAGTTGCATATTCAAATGTTGGCTATGATCGTATCCTTATTGCATTGTTGAATCAGGCATTCAGCAATTTTGATACCCTAACTTCTGAAATAGAATATTTTTCTTTAACAATAATTCTTAAGATGTTGTTGGTTGGAGAACATCATCTATTAGACGTAATAATGAACTACCCAAGGTACAATCATTCTGTAGTATGTATTTTAGCTGCCACCTATTACATCTTATGTGAAAAACTGTTTTGGTGTTTATAGTGGGAAGACTCCTTTAATGAGAAGTATCCTCACATTGTGTATGAAGAACATTGCAAGGCATGTGAGGGTGAGCAGGGTGAGTCTGTTGTGAAGGAGGATGATTCTTTGGACAAGTTGGAAGGTTTGTTGCTCTTTCCTTACAAAAAGAAGTTGGCTTTAGGTCACACCATTTCTTGGTTCTTTTAGTTCCATCCTCTCTCCCCCTTCTGGGGCCTTTGATATAATTTGTAATGCTGCTCTCTTGTATATGCATGCATGACTGACTTTAATTTTGGATTGTTTTTCTAGTACATACCACTGTTACAAGAAATAATCAATGTGTTGATCCTAAAATATTATGCCACTTGGCGATTTTGTTTAATTCGTCTTAGTTTGAAAGCGGCACGAAGTTTCAGAACATAAAAGGAAGACTTTTGAACTTTTTGGTCATTAACTAAAAGGTGTGTATAGCATACCAAATTACCCTTTGAATCTTGTGGTTATAAACAGGCCTAGTCATTCCTATAAGGGAGTGTCATTAAGGTAAAATGGGAATGTTACAAATAAAGGCTTACTAATTATATAGAAGTGGGATTCTTTCTTAAACAAACTAACTAAATCGGAACGGAGGGAGCATTAAGCTTGTAAAACAGAGATGGTATCTAGCCTCCCTCTGTGTCACATAGGTCCTTCATTTTCCTTTATCAAATCTGTGTCGGATGGAAGCAGGTGTACCTTGGGTGTAAGTGCTTCATCAAAATACACTAAATATTATGAAGAATAAGCTCCATGCAGTCATAAAAATACTTGCATCATGTGTAAGACAGGCCTCAACCTTTTCAAACATAGCAAGGTTTTCAAACTTGCCCTGAACTCTTTGGTTTGAGTGCTTATTATTTTGTTTTGGTCCACTGAATTCTGATTTCGCCTTTTGTATTGTATGCATGAATGTATAGCCTTTCTTGGCTTCTAAATATTTCAGTTCTCATGTTTGGACTCTTACGCAGAAGAATTGGTGACTGGTTTATCTAGAGTGTCATGGGATAAAGTGGACGTTAGCTTTCACAGGATCAGGCGTAGGTTTGCTTCTCACACTGTTATTCAGGTCTCTCTTTCTCTCCCCTGACTACTGATAATTACAAACGTGATTGCCCAGAGCATTTTTAGATATTTTAGTGGTTCTCCTTGAACCACAGTCAAGTCTCATTTAATTAAGATGATGGAAGTATGAACTCTACCTATTTTGCTTAATGTGTAGAAGATAACTTTCATTCATCTACCTCACAGATTTACGACTGAAAAAGTATGTATGAGAATTATGTCTTTGTCCTGTGTGTTCATGTGTTGCATCCTGGTGTTTGCCAATTTTATAGCCTCAAGAATTAGTTTGAAAAAATATTAACTAGTAATGCAGATTAAACAAGGTTTTAGTTTTGGCGACAAACTGCATTGACCTACAATTTGCGTTTTTGAAGCAGGGGTATTACTATTCCATTTCCTTCTATCCTAACTCTGGTGCATACATCTTCTGTATAACACTATTTGACCTCGGATTACTAGAAAAGTGAGAGATTTTGGCTTGAACCATGTCTCTTTCTGGACCACTTTGTCACTTTAGACACATAGTTGATATAGTGGAGGAGTGCCTGGTGCTAAAAAATGAGAACATCATTATAGCCCAAGTGGCTGAGGTGATGTTTGCAGCGTGGGAGAGCTAGTCTAAGACATTGCCACTTTAGACATGTAGATAAATAGTGGAGGAGTATGTGGTGCTAAAAATGAGAACATTATTACAGCCCAAGTGGTTGTGGTGGTGGTAGCAATGGTGGGGAGAGCTAGTGTATGATATTGACACCCTTGTAGCGTGTGATAAATTTTACACTATTCAATTCATTTAGTCCACTTTGTAAGCCAGCTGGAGGAAAGCATTATTAACTCACTTCGTTTTTAGTTTGTCCCCAAAAAAGGGACAGCTTTATGTCTTTAGAAACTATCTAACTTAATGAGATTGATTTATGTCTGTAGAAACTATTTAACTTAATGAGATTGATTTATATGTCAGAAAATATCTATGGCTTGTTTAGACTACATGTTTCAAAAGTCTTTCTTTTGTTGTTAAACTCCCTACACTGTCAAAAACTGTCACATAAAATAGGACAGACGGAGTACAATTTAAAGCAGTAAATAAAAGTAATACTTGTAGGCGCTGAAATGCAATGTGGGCAGGGGTGGATCCAGGTAGGGGGTCATCCGAACCCCCTTCAGCTGAAAAGTTATGTATTGTTGATCTTATAGGTTGTTTAGAAAGGAGAATAGTGATTTGAAAGGAAGAGAGTTCATAATATTCCTGTCAGTTTCCGTATTTAATAGTTGAAAAGATGGTGAAAGTAAAAAACGAGGAGTATATCTTCCTTGGGTTTACAGTTTGTCTTCCCAAACAAGGACAAATCAAATATATGCTTCCGTTTTTCCTTTTAACCAAACTCTGAAGTTCCAACTTTTCTCACTCTCTTCAGTTTTCTCTCCTTTGTATTTTCTCATCCTGTTCTCTTCGCTGGGGTTGAATCTTTCTCTCACTTTATACTTCGTGACTAGATGCAGTCTGTCATTCACTTAATAAACCCTGTAACTTGATCCAGTTTCCGATTTACTTCATAAACCCTGTAACTAAATGTAATTTATGACACTCGAAAAACTCTGTAGCTAAATTTCATTAAAAGTATATAAGAGTAAATGAAGTTTGTGCAGCATGGTTCTGGTGTTAGTGGACCAGAAGGGAACTCAGTATCTAATATAAGCGCTAACGCGCAAAATCTCAGCCTTCAACTTTCCAAGGGTTCGGATGGCCCCTCTTTGCTTATTAATTAGCTAATAGGGGCACAAGTTACATTAAGGACATATTTGGATCAACTATTGAATTGTAAAGGTATATGTGAGCTAAACTAATAGCTAATTATGCTTACAGGTGAAGGATCAAAAAATAGATGCCGAAGGTGCTGATGTTATACAACATATGATCGATAATTTTATCGTATAGAGGCCAAAATCAAATCTGAAATTTTCAAGGTGATCAATGATTTGCATGTTAGTGTCTCTTACTTCCTTTTCTATCCTAGACTTTTGCATTTGGTGGCCTGTTGTGAAATGCTGGAAAAAGTAAATTGATTTTTTCATCTATGGTTGCAGGGAGGGGCATATCTAGAGGGTTTATTATTAGTTCACACGAACCTAGTAAATTTTGCCAAACTCTCTATATATATGTATATATATAAAAAAAAAATATTAAATATCTACAGTATGAGTGTGTAACTTTTACTATTATATTATTAACTTGAGTTTGTTATAGGAACTTGTAAGTTTCAAATGTTGGATTCGTCTCTGGGCTTTGCAGGTTAGGTTCTTCTATGAATCGTTTTAGACAATAAGTCATTATTAGGAACGTTATTGACTCATTGTGCCCTAGTGTCCATGGTAACAGTTCCATTCACCAATGATATAGTACTTTCTCTGGTTTAATTTGTCTGGTGCGGGTTATTTCTCCTATATGGTTTGCGAGCCCTTGCCATGAAACAAATCAAAGTAGAGAATTATTGTGAAGAAAAATATGACAAATTCATAGGAAAACACTTATGGGAGTCTATATGCAAGGAACTGTACCATAAGCAAGGTGTGATTACCTAAATAGTTAACAACAGATGATAACAGATACCAAAAGTCAAATATTATATGAGTAGAGACTAATACTACTACTGGTATGGTGCTTTAGACTTCCACTACGTCAAGACTATATAAATATGCTAATACTAAGAAATGCTAGACTGCCTACATTACTTTTTATGTATATAATAGGAGATGTTGAATTTTTTGGTTTCTTCGTGTGTTTGTTTGCAATAAATGTGTTTGTATTTGCAATAAACTTTAAAGTGATAGAAAAATAAATTACAATCACAAATAAATTATGAAGAAACATGATATTGTTGATAAATCGTGTGGGTTCCTTGATTCTTTTCTCATGATATGATCTCTCGAATCATTAGTGGCGTATTTCTCGAACTAGTATGATTTGATTTGATCTCTTTATGAATATTCCATGAATTTGAGAAATATATATTGACAGAAACTACGGTTTAGGGTTAAGTAACCTTCAAAAATTATAATTGAAATTGAATACACTTTGTAGAGTTTCACAAAATTTTAATTTTAATTGAAATCGAACAGATTCTGTAGAGTCCCACGAAATTTTAATTATGGCTTATATAGTAAGAAGGAAGAAAGGTTAAGGGAAATTACTCAATATGGATTAATCTAGCAAACAACAAACCTCTATCACGAGTTTTTGAGAAATAATATAGAGATGTATGTATTGTGATTTTATTTACACGTTACTCATAATGATTTTGCAATATAAAAATCATGATAATGAGTTTTTATCCAATTGTGGTATGTGGATACTTGTTTTTGTACTGTATGTGAATTGTCTATGTTGGGGAGCATACTTAACAGGAGAATTACATAGATAATCATATGATTTTCAATTTATTATTGAATTAAAGCCACAGTTCTTTCTATGAGGGGATATTTTAAAATATTCTTTTATGCATTTTATAGGTGGTCGATAAATTAATATACATTAAATCGTTTAGTTAGGAATAAATTAGCTTACCTTACGATATATATGATGCAATTAATATTTAAAGACTATCTAATATCTTCAATCAAATAAAAAATAAAATAATTTTATATTCATTTTCGAAATTATTATCAACTTATATCTCGACTCCAACTTTAAAAGCAATATTAAAATCGCACATATGAAAGTAATGGTAAAGTACATTGGAAAGTTGTTTATATAAAAATAAAATAAATTTTTTTATATATAGGATAAGATAAATTTATAACTTATTAAAAACTTCTGGATATGTGTGACACATGTAGGTCTCCCTTGGCCCTAGTATGAAAGTTATGGGCCTTTTGGATTTTTGCGGCTGCTACCACTTGATATATGTCTAATAAATGCTTGAAAATATCCAATAACTCTCTATCTCGTCGTCTGGTTTATGCGATAAGATGAGATATTTCAGAATAAAGTTTATCTCAGATTTAATTTTGAATAATAAATATCCCTCACACTTGTATTTATTTTATCTTGATTTGAAAATGAGATTAGTTAAAAATTTATAATTTTGAAATAACTTAATCCAAAAACCAAACGATCCCGTATAGCTTAAAGTGGAAGATGATCTCAATGTTGTGCAATGGCATAATAATGTGATGCCCATTGATAGTGACATTGATGATTTTAACCAACAAATAATTGTATGTGGTCCATGTTAGGGATGTTGAGACAAAAGCTTAGCAACTAGTTATTAAAAGGGGGTAGAGAAAGGGTCCACTTGTAGCAAGTAGCACATTAAGTAGAGTTAAATTTCCCTTGTAGATTTTTGTGAAATATAGTTTTCATAGGTTTGTAAAATTTGTCTATATACATTGCTATATATATATATATTGTACTATGTTGTGATCTATAAACTTGTCATTGTCTTGTCTTATATAGTAGTAATGCATGAACCAATTTCTTGGGGTCCAATTAGCCCTTAACTTGAAGCTTTTGGAAAATGGCCCTGTATTTGGTGTGTACAAGTATGATTTTTTTTTGGTGGGTGTTGTTTCTTATCTTATTTATCGGTAAAGAGAAATTCAGAATTTGAAGTTAGTGATTTTATATAACAATATTAGATATGATAATAATTGAGTTCAAGAGCAGATATTTAGTATATTTCTTTATATATAGGCTTGAACTAGATACAAGTAATATATTATATGAATAATAGGTTATGCTCTGAATTTTTCGGTGCGTTTTGTATCAATCTATATAACATCGTTTGAAATAATATGTAATTTTAAATTAGATTTATACATAAATATGTCTCTTTAATAGTTAACTTGTCAGCCTTATTTAACATTTATGTCATTTATACCAAGTTGCTTAATAATAACTCGAAGGCAAGTTCTTTTACTAAAAAGAGTAGAAGATTGATGGAGGACTAATTGTAAAAAGTTAAATACACATAATGTGTTTGGTATAGAGAAAATATTTTATGTAAAATATTTTATTACGTTAACATGATCTTACATAAGAGGTTATGAAAGATACGAATCACGTTCGAATTATAGTTAGTTAGATTGTGAGTGTTGTTTGGCTTATTTTTCTATAATCTTAGTTGTACTATTAGTCTCGATATTACTCTAATAGTATTGTGCCTTTTGAGTTTGATTATTATCTAATATTTGTGGATCTTTACTTTAATACATCGTTTGTTGATTTATCAATCTTATTATAACTATTGTTTAGAATGTAAAAAAAAGTTATACATACAACATAAACACATTGTGAGACTTCTCAAATTAAAACAATATATATATAGTGCTTCTACTATCCACATTATTTAGTATAATAACATATTATCATTTTTAGGAATTCAAATTTGTTAATCAAAATTTACATTATGGAATGATATTCTTTAATAAATATGTGGGGGGGAAAGCTCTATTAATTATGATGTAGAAGAGGATTAAGTAATTAACATGCTTTAACACAAATTACAAATTAGTCATCTACACCAACTCCATCTTGTTCTCTCTTCTCCTTTTCCGGCCAACATTCGCCGGAGCACCAGATTTTCCGGCATCCAACGGAAAATTCAGAATAGCTTTTCTTCCTCTCATCTTAAACGCTGCACAATCATAAGCTCTAGCAGCATCAATATCAGTATCAAAAGTACCCAACCAAATCCTCGATCCTTTTCGACTTGGATCTCTTATCTCCGCCGCAAATTTCCCCCATGGCCTTCTCCTTACCCCTCTGTAATTCTTCTTCTTATTATTGTCTTCATTAGAACCGGCGGAGCTGTCGAAAACTGGACTGAGGATGGTATCTGAATCGATTTTGAATTCAGGGAAATCGGAGCGGAGATTGAAGTAACGGGAAATTGGGGAGTTGGGTTCATTTGGGTATGAGGAATTGGGTGAATCTGAGAGGGAATTGGATGTAGATGGCTCTGTTTTTACTGAAGTGAAAACAGGGGAGATGTCATCGGAGGAGGAGATGTGATCGGAAAAACAAGAATTGAGACTGTCGATGAATGATTCTGTAGTTGTGAAATCTTCGAGGAGATGTTGTCGTATGAGTTCTAATGTTAATCCTTCATCTTGTTTCGTCATTTTGCAGTATTTTGAGAATTGCAGTGAAGGTGTTTGTGTTTATGTCTCTGTGAATCTGAATTTTTTCTAGTGAAGGTGTTTGTGTGTCTATATATGGAGTAGTAGTGTATTATATATGCACACACATGTATATATATGAGGAGGTGGGGGTGGGGTGGGGTAGGGGTGGAGGGTGGTTATGCCATTTTTTTTGCTTTTCATTTATTTTGATATTTGTAATGGAGTTCGATTAAATTTGAATTCGTGTAAAAAAGTTTTATATTAAGGATAAGATATTGTTTAATAAGGGTCATTTGTACTCGTAAGAACTTGAACTTAAGACTTCTAATTAAGAATGAAAGAGTAGGGGCGAACCTAGAGAACTCTCTCGGTGAACAATTATGTTGTATATTTAATGTATTTTAAAGAATTTTTATGTCTGTATATTAATTTTGAACCTCTTAAATGTAAGATCAGAGATTGATTTAGTAGTTGAGGGGTTCAAAATTAACTTTGAGGTTTCAAAATCTCAAATTTTAAGTATTACTTTTTTTTTCTTTTCGAACCCCTATGAAAATTTTAGATCCGTCACTATAAAGGAGTACCTTTTTGTTTGAAGTTCTCTATAGATGAGTAGTAGTATTATATATCTGCACATATTGAGGGGGAGAGGTGGTGTTTATGATTTTACATTTTTCGGCTTTTAATTTGGTGTTCAGTATCATATTGAAATTCGATTAAATTTAAATTTTATCGAAAAGTTTTATATCGAGAGTAAAGCATTCTCTACGAAATAATTTACACTTGTGAAAAAGTCATACCTAAAATCTTTGATTAAGAATAAAGAAGTCTGGTGGGTAACCATGAGGGGTAGCTCGGCTGGTAAAGACCTGAGGACAAAGTCCTTCAGGTCGCTATTTCGAGCCCCAGCAGGGCCACTGGAGGCATTACAAAGCGACCGTATCTCCAGAGCCCCGTGAAATTAATCGTGGTACACTCACCTTGAAACAGTAAGATCCGATGAATACAGCTAGTCGGATCCGAAGGTCACGGCAAAAAAAGAAAAAAAGTCTGGTTGGTGGGGTCTATGGCATTGGGTATATACGGTTTGGACACTGTTTTTTTTTATTTGTGTGATTAGCTGGAAAAAAGAGAAAGCAACTTTTTGTTTTTGGGTTAATTTTAGGAAGAGTTATCCATAGTGTGTAGCATATGACATGAT